ATGAAGTCTTGTTGACTTCACCGTATGAGACACAATGTTAAGTGAAAGAGAAATCACACATGGTGAATTAGCCGTTAACGAGATTCCGTCTATAATGAAACGACGTCATTTCTAAAACTCGACTTTCAATTTTGGGATTCTAGTTATGTTAGAAAAGACGTTGTTTCGTTATTTACGGGATCTCGTAACCGGCTAATTCTCTGTGAATGATTTCTTTGTTTGCCCATATGTCTCATACGACCGTCAAGTGAACGTGACTTCATGACTTAATAAGAAGTCAACAAAAGATTGAGAATTTTTTCAACCATGTGTAGTGTTCATACTGTACATCAACGAAAATGTTGTCCTCATGGATTTAAATGACATTTTCTCCTTTGTTTAACTTGGGGCACATTGTGTTACCTTATCTTTGTCTAGCTCTTCATGTACCTATCATTTCATGTAGAGAAACAAAACAACTAAAACTTAGCACACAACAAGATGGGTATCACATTCGTGTCAAGTTTTTGTACGACAAGGACAATCAAACCGTGGTTGGAGAGGATCATGGGAGCAACACATTACTTAGATTTGATGAGGTGATGATTATTTCAATCTTCTTGTTAATTATGCTCTTGTTCAACTTATTTACTTGGAATTTTCTTGTTTTTGTAGTTTGAGTTGCAGCATCCGGGTGAATACTTGATATCTGTCGAGGGTGGTTACGATGATGTCGTAGATGGAAATATATCCAAATTTATACGCATGCTTAGGTTCAAGACTAATATATGAACCTCTCAACTCTTTGGACTCGAGACAAAGCCAAGCTTCAAACTCGAGAAGGAACGTCACAAGATTGTCGGGTTCCATGGAACAATAGGTAAGATGCTTAAAAGAATTGGAGTCCATGTCCTTCCATTACATAATGATTATCTCCATATAAAATTATGAGCTCGAATGAAACATTTCCGGGCAAGTTTGATCATGTTAGATAATGATCTCTTATCCGATTATGTACTCTACTACTTAACGGAACTCCGAAAAGGTGATGAGGAGTTTAGTATTGAATCCTTCTAATAAGATTTTGTGTGAATCTATCTATAAGAAGTAACCCTTTGATTTTCACATGAAAAGTTTCTGGTTAATGGAAGACTCTAACAAATTATCATCTTCAATTAGAAGTATGTATGCTACAACTTAAGCCAGTGTTTGTATGAATTATGCGACGTGAGCTTGGTAATGGTCAACTTGCATCTTTCAGGTCCCTCATCCCCCACATAGGGGAAGGTGGCTCCAGAAAATTAAGGATTCTAGGCCAACATTACTGGGGGTATCTTAGCCCTCTAAATACCCCTAATAATGTCGGTCATGATATTGATGCTACCAAATTTGGTCTTTCTTCGCCATCTCAAACGTAACCCTCCTAGCTCCCTAGGGTGCAGCTGCAGCTTGAATCTATTCTCATTAAGCTCATTTTTCAAACCACTATTTCTACTATCCGGAAGGAACACAACTCCCGCATCTTCTTCTTGGACTGAAGTAAAATTCCATGCTATTCGTGAAACAATTGATTATTCTCTCGTTTTTGTTTTGTGTAAATTTTGTTTAATTTTTTTCTGTCTATCGTCATTCCGCTTCGGTTATTTAATAAGTTGTATGCAAATAAATAAATAAAATGGTATAAAATTTAACATTTACACCCCAAAAAAGAATAGTAACCCTTTAAATACTAGTTTGAAGATTATGTATTTATGTGGTCTCAGTTTTCAAGTTAATATATATAATAATTTTTTGGTGTTTGACTAATCTTTTAATATATCTAGGATTTATTTTGTCCTCAAAATCTTGCCTAAGGTATAGACATCTTTTAGTAATGCGGTCTTTAATTTTGTTGCTCTAATACATTTTGAAATGATAAAAAAATTTCCCA